TATAGAGCGTTTGATGGGCGTACCGGGGATTTGGGCAGGATTAAAGATAGGTGGATTCATACTTTTGGGATTCTAATTCTAGGGCATGATTTATATGGGTGGGATAATTTTTGAAAGGTCTTTGATGTTTTAACTAATTACCTTGTATAGGGGCGACACTCCCTTGGTGTCTTATACTTAATATACATTGTTTTATCTCAAAAAAATTAGTGGCTGGTTGAACTCTAGAACCCATGAACTTGTTCTTTCTCCTGTTAACTGCTTTTTATTTCTCCTTTCTTGGTAAGGTTTAGAGTGGGGTTCAGAAACCATTTGAATAGCTTTGCTTCATGAACCTGTTTTCACTTGATTACAGAACACCTCTCCTGGTCCCTTTCTGTGTAGATCAGTGGCTTTTGGTCCTCTCTCCCGGCATAAACAATGAAGCTTTCAATTGAATTACTTACGAGCTGAGACCATCTTCGTAATTATGTTCCCCTTTTTGGGTGAAGCTATGGAAGTTAAGTCATTGGAAGACTAGGATGGCAAAGTGCCAATTCGATTTGCAGGCATGGTGGTAGCTACTTTGTTCACTTTTTTTTTTGAGATAAAGCTACTTTGACCACCTTCTTTGTGAATAATGAAGTCAAACAGCATCCAGCCATCAAACTTCATCTAAAAACTTATTTATTATACATATGTATATATATGTACCTACATGTAGGTAACAATCTAAAACATGTGATTTATGGAAAAGCTGCCCATAGAATTATAAACCAACGATTTTCATTAAGTTATCTGTAGTTACTGATAACTGTTACCTGAACAGTTTATATATACTTCTGAGGTAGAAAAAGTGCTGGAAGATTCACTATGTCCTTATCAATAATATATTTCTCACCTGATAACATATTCTGATGGTTACAGGTTTCTAGCAAGGTTAACAAATGACGACAGTGAAATCAATTTGGGAAATGGTGAAGCTGATCCTGAATTTGCAGAGTGGAAATGGGCGAGCCCAGAAGAAGTTATTGACCAGGTTAGCAATAGGAGTTTCATTATGATATGCTTGAAACAAATGGATTCATTAAAGTCATGCAGTTCATTTGTAAATATTAGATTATTACCTGAAACCGTATGGTTTTAAGAAGAGTTGCTCAATAAAAATTGATATGCTGCAACGGTTCTTTTTTTTCTTTTTTAAAATATAGAAATTACTATAGATCATTATACTTGTCAGTGTGAGATTAGATCTCACATGAGCAGATAGGGCATAGAGAATAGCGATGGAATAATGGTCAAAACTAAGCTATAGATTTTGATACTATCTTAGATTTTTTATTTAGTTCTCTATAATGTTAGAAAAAGCTATTTATGAGGTATATAAATTACTGTGAGTCTTAATACTTGATCATCTTAAAACTAAATATAAAAATTCTATTCTAGATGAGTTTATATTTTAAATTTTATCTTTAAAAAGTATATTTTAAATTTTATCAAAATTAATGAAGTTTAAAATATGTTATGGTTCTTAAAAAAAAAGATAGCTAAGAACCATAAACTTTCAAAACATAAACTTGAACTGATCTGTTACGATTTGTCTTTTAAAAAAAAAAAAATTGAGTAATTCGGGACACATGAGACAAAAACAAAACTATTTAAATGCGACCTGATTATATAATATATTTTGTAATTTTAATTGAAATACATATAATATATATTTTAGTTTGGTGTATATATAAAAACGTATACTTTATTTTTAATTAAAAATAAAATTTTAAATTTAATTTATATATACTATATTTATAAATGATTCGACTTGGATCAGTTTTATTGGAGACTTGGTAGGGTCGGAAAAAAATAAATTTGTTCTGGGGATGGGTTAGAATTTTATATATTAAAATTGGGGGTTCAGGCTTTATCAAATTTTAGTTAAGTATAAAAGGATGTAAATTGTATTAGAATGCATTATGTTTACATAAAATTCTGTATAGAACTCCAAAAGATGTTCTATGAAAGAAACACATTTCAAATTCTGTTAAATTGATGCAATTTGAAATATGTTATAATTTTACAAAAAAATTTATATGAAGGTCATTTTGCAAAATTTGTTCTAAAGTGTGGCCACGGTTTTAGAATTCTTTGTATCGATATACTATGCTAGCTTGATAGTCTTGGTAATCCATGATCACGCAGGCTGTCGACTACAAGAGGCTAACATATGAGGAAGTTATGAGAACCTTCAGTCCTTATTTCAGGGATGATGGAAAAGCTGCTAAATGTAAATCCACAAAGTGGTGAATGGTTTGAGTGTGCTTTTGTAGTTTTCTCTGTGTTTCTAATAGAACCGATGGAATTTGGTCTTGTTCTGTTCTTTTGTTTTTTGTTTTTTATTATTTTTTGAGAAGGAACATGTTAGGTCTTCGTCCTCTGTACATTGACTTGGCAGTTTAGAACATAACTTTTAGACTGTTACTTAATTGTAATAAATCTTTGTGGAAAAAGGAAATTCATTTTTTGATGCTTTTATCCCAAAAAAAGACTTTGCGACTGCTTTCTAAATGACAAGCTGATATCGCCAAGGTCGGTACCATTATATCGGTCCAATGAGCTAAGTTCAGCTGGTTTTCGTAGTCACCAACTTTGTTTACTGGCAGGAGGATTTAAGACTGAAAACTTTACAATTATAATGTAAACGTGATTTGTTGCTTTTAGTTTTTTGTTAAAAAATTATGAAAGAGAAATTTAGAATCTATCAATAACGAGTTTCTTTAATTCTTAAATGACTATAATTAATTTTTAATTATGAAAGAGTATAAAACTTATAGATCATAAATAAAATTGAAAATTTAGTAATCAAATCTAAGGTAAAAACAGCTCATTTGGAATTTACCAGAGAGGACAAACAATTTGGGTGAGATGCAAAGTCTTCCTTGTCAGAATAATGATTGGGCATCATTTTGTTTTGGCAATAGGTGAGCTGGAAGCAAACCTAGTGAGAGAGAATAGAGGGGTTTGGCCTCGGGACATGCTGAATCATAACTGGAACAAGCTGTGCGTGCATAGAAGGATGCGTGTGGTCAGTAGAATCAGAGAGAAGCCAACAGGTAATTATTGGGAAAAAAACTCAAACACAAGGGAAGAAGAGTAGATCATAGTGGTAATGGAAAGAAAGAAGAATATCAATTTTGGTTGCACCTGAATCAAGAGTAGCGGATAGTATTTTATGTGTGGGTGTATGTGTATGTATACGGGAACAAGGGGGAGATTGTATAATCTGTAGGCCATTTTTTCAAATCCTATTTGATGGAAATCATTTTAGTCACCAGATATATTATAATACCATAAGATCGGTGTGTCTTTTGCATATTTTCAAGTGAATTCATGGGTTACACTATCAACAAAATCTGAATATATTGGCACAGAAAGTTGGCTTGTCAGAAACTGGTGAAGGTTATTTCCATTAGCCAAAGAAATGGATGGACATGGCGGGAAAGAACATGCAAATGTCATATTCTTTTTCTAGTGATGAGTAATTTTAGTAGATGAGATTTAAATATTAAAATTTGCGTGTCGTGATGAGCGGAATCTGTCTCTTTCTCAAAATTATGCTGGTCAAAATCCTAACAACATCCGGTTCTTAGTGTCCATTCGATGATATTTTCTGGGAAGAGAATAATTTTGGAACCCGGTGCCAGACTTGTGCTTCAATGGGAGGAGATGATGAGAAAGCATATATCTAGGAAAATAAATTTTACCCCAAAAAAATATTTTGAATCGAACGTATTGTAGATTTATAAAAAGATTATTTTGTGAAATTCAAATATATTTGCTACTTTAATTGAACGCAAAAAGGAATTGGTGGTCTGTATCACAACTTAAAAACCACGGGATGGGTGGACGGATACTGGATTTAGAAGAGATTGTGGTCTGGTGATGGTGATGGTGATGTCATCGCAAGACGCGTGTCAAATGATAGGCATGTAGGGCCCACTTTCCACAGCAACATGGCGTCGCGATGTTCTGGTATGGACATGGTCCGGTTGACAGAATATTTGATTTTTTTTATGCTCGGGGAAATGATCAGATGCAACGCAGCCCAGAGAATGAATCTGCAAAATACGGTTGTTATTATATAATATTATTTTGTATATTTTCTTTTTATTTATTTATTTATTTTTAACGGTCGTTAAAGTAGCAGATCGCATATGAGCTATTGCAGCTCCTATTTTGATCAGCGTCAACAAAGGCGGAGCAATCAGGAGTCATCGCCGTTGGATTCTACTTCTCCTAGTGATGCGTAACTGATCCACTGATTGATCGATCACTAGCTCGCTTGCATTTGTCTGTTTAACGGTCTGCCACCACCAAATCGTCTCTCTCTCTCTCTCTACACCTCAGTGTTCTGCCTGGATCCATGAATTTTGGGATAAGACAAGGTTCTCGCAATTCGTGGAAAGATATTGCTTTTATTCCCCTGTTGAGTTCTGTCATTTTCCCCAACTGATCTAGTTTGTCTTAATCTATCGTCTTCTCTCCCATTCGAGTTCTCTCTCTCTCTCTCTCTCTCTCTCTCTCTCTCTCTCTCCTTTTTCTTTTAATTCTATACCATTTTTAAATTGCCGCGTTAGATTTATGACTTCTTGGATTTAACATATTTCTTTTCTGATATATATGTTCTGATTATTTACGGCAACAGTCCAGTTGACATGTTTAAATTTTATCCCATATGAATATTTCGAAGCTTTTAATTGATCAATTAAAAATTTAAAACCGTGTATTTCCGGGTTTTCATATTTTATTATATACAGTGAAAGGTTTGTATGCTGTCATTTCTTATCGGGTCTCTTTCGGTCGTTTTCTTCTCGCTAGGAGATTCGTGGAACAACTTTCTCTTCCTCATTTTTAGTTTGGGTGGAGAAACAGTACGCTACTCAGAGGTTCGTATATCGATTCTCTTAACATTAATTTTTTTACAAGTTTTATCTTGCGTATGTTCCTGGTTTTATTCACGAATGATAGGGGGCTAAACACTTCTCAAAACAGTCATGAACCTGCGTTTGTATATGCTGAAATATTATATGATGCCGGCCTTTGCGCACATGTTTGACTTTTAGTTTATTTGGAAATTAGAGTTGGATTATTATATCATGTGGTGAATATTGCATCTCTCTTTCATAGTTCTAGCAGTTTGCTGCTTTAACAGGACACTGATTTCAACCCTGTTCAGTGTTTGGAACTTGCGGCCATGAAGATTACAGTTTGGCGCTATGACCCTGCATTTACAGAATGTAACAAATTAGTCTTAGAATCTTGTACTCGCTTATGCTTACAGGAAAAAACAAGCCAACAGAAGGAAAGTTCCGGCTTTAATTGGCTGTTTACTGCTTAGCTAATATTTACGTTCACTATCTCAAGGGTATCAGAATGGATGTGCTGTTCCATCTTTAGGAAGTCCACTTGAATTGTATGTGGGATACCAAATTATATAATGGCTGTTTATTACTATTTTCAGTTTTATTATCAATTTGCCCATCTCTTTTGCAAATTTCTTGAGTCATTCTGCTCTCTGTTCAGCACAGGATTCCCGAATCGCTTTGATGTCTTTACAAGTTAAACATACAAAAACGAAATCTAAAAAATGCAATAACGTTATTCTCTTTTCCCCTCCGTAGTCCCTTCATTTGAGTGGAAGCTGTATGTAAATACTGCTGTCCAACAAAATGTACATTTAGATTTTTTTTCCTTCCAGAGCACTGACATTTCAGTAGGATAATTTAATTCACTTCTATCAATTTTTTGTTACTTCTTTATGTGTTTGTTCTTACATCTGATCTAATACAGATCATGTTTGACAAAGATTTTTTCACCGAGTATGGTGAGGCAAGTAGATATGAAATACAAGAAGTAGTTGGCAAAGGTAGCTATGGTGTAGTTGCATCAGCAATAGATACACATACAGGGGAGAAAGTTGCCATTAAAAAGATGTCTGGCATCTTCGAGCGTGTTTCTGATGCTACACGAATTCTAAGAGAGATCAAACTCCTTAGGCTGTTACGTCACCCAGATATTGTTGAGATCAAGCATATAATGCTACCTCCTTGTCGGAAAGAATTCAAAGATATATATGTTGTTTTTGAGTTGATGGAATCAGACCTTCATCACGTTATAAAGGTAAATGATGATCTCACTCCTGCTCATCATCAATTCTTCTTGTACCAGCTTCTTCGTGCTCTAAAATATATACACACAGGTTCGGTTTCTCTTTATCTTGTTTTTAGAATTCCTTTTTATGCTCTTTCTTTTTCCACTTCAAGAATGACGCTGATTGCTTTCTTTTCTATTCTTGATTCATAGCTCATGTTTTCCATCGAGACATAAAACCGAAAAATATCCTTGCTAATGCGGACTGCAAACTCAAGATCTGTGATTTTGGGCTGGCTCGTCCATCATTTACCAATGCGCCTTCAGCCATTTTTTGGACTGTACGTATCTCCTTAATGTTCCTATATCTTCGAAGCTATTTCAATATTTTCAGCTCCTTTTTACATGTAAACCACTTGAAAAAGAAATAGAACATTTGATAAATTCTATTGTGGGTGTCTGCACGTGTGTGTGTGTAGGTGTGCTAAAGAAATAGAGCATTTGATAAATTCTATTGTGGGTGTGTCTGCACGTGTGTGTGTAGGTGTGCTAACCTCATTTTTGCTTTTGCCAAGGATTATGTTGCTACTAGATGGTATCGTGCTCCTGAGCTCTGCGGGTCATTCTTCTCCAATGTAAGTATATTATTAAGAAAATGTTTATGATGACTTGGTTTAAACTAGGTGTATGATAACTCGCTTTTTGATTAAGGTTCATCGGCTTTATTCTAGTAAGGATTTAAGGAACCTTATAGATATTTTGATTGATTTGTGAATAGTTGTAATCGGGTTGCACGCACTTAGTGCTCTTGAGTATATTCATTTTTTCTTTCCAAGCATACAATTATTCTGTTTTATCATTAAATTCAATAAAAGTAGATATGCATATCAAGTTCATAAAATTAGTTGAAGGGTTTAAATTCAATTTTAGAAATCTAACCATAACTATCAATAAATGTATGATAACTTATCCTAGTTTGACCCAACGTATTAATATGTTCATTTGTATATTCAATTCAGAATTGATTAAAAAGGAGAATATGGTAGCACCTTGATATTGCAGGCAATTGAAATACCTCTGAACTGTTTATGGTCATTTCTGCTATTTCTCTGTTATGAGGTGAACTGCAAGCTACTAGTAATCTTAATGGTTTACCTTGAGGCTCTTTTTTTCCTTGAGCGCCTCTTTTGTGTCTTCACCATCAAGATGTAGTTGTCCATGTTATGAGAATTTCTAAGATGCAATTCCATTTCCATAGAAGGAGAATGCAAAGTGTGATTAAAATTTTGGCTATCTCTTTGTACCATAGTCCTGAAATGTTTAACTACTTTCTTGTTTGGTCATTGTATATCATCATGGAGAAGCAGAACACAACATATTAAAATATAATGTAAAAAATAAAATTAGATTGTTGCTTATGGTTTTAGGATAATTTGTCAGTCAACAAATCTTTTCATAGGACATCAAAGCTTAAGGTCATGAATTTCAAATCTAGAAGTGATTCATGGTTTTTTATCAGTTTATTCTCACAGCAATGTTAATACATGAAGTTCTATTTCTCATTTGCAAGCGCTTTGAGTAAGAAGAATGGAATTGCTTCCGTCTAGTATCTTTATGTCTTTGGTAAATTTACTGGAGATTAATTATCTGTAATGGTTCACCTTGATTTCCCTTTTTTTCTTAATCTCAGAATGGATTATTTTCTTCAGCAAGAGTTATTATTTTCACTTCTTTGTTATGAGTTGTATTGAATTATTATGGGCTAACTTGCTTTAAGACCTCAGTGGTAGTTTCTCTAAAATCTTTTGTTTTTGCAGTACACCCCTGCGATTGATATTTGGAGCATAGGGTGTATTTTTGCAGAACTGCTAACAGGAAAACCCTTGTTTCCGGGGAAGAATGTCGTAAATCAATTGGAACTTGTGACTGATTTGCTTGGCACTCCTTCCCCTGAATCCATTGCAAGGGTTTGTTCTTTTTTTTTGAGGGTCAATATTTTATCTAAGCTTGTCACTGATGTTGAATGGTTTTCTTTAATTGAACTTTAATTTTTTATTCTAAAGTTGTTTGTTATCATCTTTACAATACTGCAGATTCGTAATGAGAAGGCTAGGATATTTTTGAATAACATGAGGAAGAAGCCACCAATTCCTTTCTCCAGAAGATTTCCTGATGTAGATCCATTGGCTCTCCGGTTACTTGAACGTTTGGTTGCATTTGATCCTAAAGATCGTCCAACTGCTGAAGAGGTAAAATGCAAAATCTGGTATTTTTGTTGCTTTCTTTTATATTTTGTTACCTGCTTGAATCTGTTTGAACTGACTTTATGTCTCCTTCATGGGCCTGGCAATGAATCTCTTTCTGAAGGCATTAGCTGACCCGTACTTTCGGGGGTTGGCAAACTTGAACTATGAACCATCCAGGAAACCCATTTCAAAACTTGAATTTGAATTTGAAAGGAGGAAATTGACAAAAGAGGATGTAAGGGAGCTAATTTATAAAGAGGTACAGTCACCTGCAATGATGCTTGTTTCAGATTTATTATGTTCCGTTTCTTGTTTGAGTTGGATTCTTGCCCTGTTACCCTGTGTTTACAACATCTAAATTTACAAACCAACAGATTTTGGAGTACCATCCGCACATGCTGCAGGAATACCTTCAAGGTGCAGATGAGACTAGCTTCATGTATCCAAGGTCAGGCACTTGAATATGTGTCCTCCCGATGGTTTAATTATATCGAACTAAATTGTGGAATCCTCGCAGCTGATGTGAAAATGAATTTTCTGTTTCACTCCTGCCTTTTTCCATTTTGCTAAATAAAATGAAATTGCCATTTCTTTGCAAAAGCACTTTCTGTACAATTTTTGTCACTATCAAGCCAAGATTAGCTCTCATTTTCTTGTAGCCCTGAATGTCAAATATTTGTCCATAGAAGCACTATTTTGACGAGTATTCATTATGATAAACAGTGGAGTTGATCAATTTAAGCAACAATTTGCATACCTTGAGGAAGATTTCGGTAAGAGTGGAAAATGCTGTGTGCTACAGAGGAAGTATGCGTCATTGCCCAGGTGAAAAGTTGGGAAAGAAACTTGTTCTATCTAGTTAGTTACATTTTGTCCTTGTAACTTTTTCCTGTTATTTTCTGCAGGGAGCGTGTCTGCTCTTCCAAAGATGGGATTATGGATGAAAATAGTCATTCAGAGAAGCATAATACCTCTTCAGCTACACGTGCAAGCCTTAAGAGTCCAGCAAAACTCCAGGAGTTAGTAGGAATACAATATACTCCTACAAGCACATTGGCTCCGCAGAAAAGATCTGGTAAACCTAAGCGGCACCCATGCCTCTTCAAGAGTAATAGCTTCACTGCATCAACATGTGGAGCTGTAATAAGAAAAGACCGTGAGGTATGGGTTAAGTGATCTTATATCGATCGCTTCTTTTGATAAGGAAGTAATGATGTATGAGAAGAGTGGTTGGTTTAAGTGAGAAATCTACTTTAGCTCATGAACCATGGGATATTTTTCTTCTTAATGAAATTGCATTATCATTCAAGATTCAGGCTTCAGCATTCTGAAGAGCATGAAAGCCCTTGATCACGTGCTATGACTTGTAAATATATATTGTCCTATACTAATTATAGAAAAAGTAAACATTAGCATGATTGATGGGAACACATAACTTTTAATTGTATTGCCAGATCATATTATCGCATGTAATGCTATTTTCTTTATCATGTATGCTAAAAGCATGTAACAAATTTTTTCTTAATCTCCTGGGACTGCGGCAATTTTCAGTTCAAATTGGCTTGAGCAAATGGCCCTAGCTAAGCTAATAGAAATACCAAATGGCATGCTTATATAACATTTACAGGTACCCTAACAAGTGCAGATATGAGTACCAACAGAAATGAGGGGAAAGAAAAGAGAAATAGGATTAGTGAGGATGTTTTAACTCCGTTCATCTACTAAGTGAAAGCAGCAGTGGCATCACAGATTTCATCAACTCTTCCCTTGTTGATAGATTTGAAAACTTTTCCCTGAGACGTTAATTTGTAAACTGCCTGTTGATTGATATCTCCCCCTAACCGCTTCCATCAAGTTGTCCAAGGGAAAGGAGGTGTGCCATATATTGCTGCAGAGGATAGAAGTCAGAATGGAAATAGAACTATGCAAATATCATGCTATCCATTTCCAGACTCAACCATTATGCTCAATCTCAACCCTCCACCTTCAAACAATGATAAGCATAACAGCGAAATAATGAATAAAAGGTAATTCAAAGAACAAAACCAAGCAAGTTCCATTAGAATGAAGACAATCAAGGAGTAGGTTGATGACTGGAAGGATTTAAGGTGAAGATTTGGCTCCCATGTAATCCACCATTAAAGGCTAAGTGTACCTTCCACAATCAATCCCTTTAGAACACAGGTCAAACACCTCTATTTTACCACAATATAAAAATAATAAAGAAGGAAAAAAAAAAGAATGTCACCTCTCAAATGTAGAGCAAAGCACCAACCTACTGTGTTTTTGTTGCTCTTGAAATTCTAAAAGAAACTAGCCATTGGAGAATATATGATGATGATTTGAAATTTGACACAGATTTTTGTTAATTCAAAGTCCTTAACTCTGCTAGCTGTTAGAGAAGGTTATGCAAGATGAATATTCAGATTTATAGTAACGTTTTTGAATTATATATACCAAATTCCTTGTTTAGACTAGCAACTGGAAATGCTTTTATCAGATCCCATAATTTACTTGAAGAAATAGAAGGACCTAATAATTCCATTGCTGAGAACTTAATTTTTGGATTCATTCTTCCATATTTTGAGGTTCTTCCCCTCTATATATAGGAGCCATTGGCTAGAAACACAACAAGATTCTAGAGAGAACAAAAAGTAATCTTGGAAGAGAGAAGTGAATAAGAATTATTGTGCTTAAAAATTGTGTAACCGAGACTTCAAGAGATCTCAATATTTTTCTTTGTTTGAGTGATTCTAATACTAGACTTGAGTAGTAAGTTTCGCCTAAACCAATTTAAAATGTATTATTTTAGACCTAGTGGGAGTCTAAACTTAGGAAATTCGTTCTAAGTCATTGAATATGTAAGAAATTGGTTCTAACTGAGCTGATAAAAGTTAGTCAAAATGGTAGATGCAGAGATCTGAAGTCCAAACCATTATAATACTTGTTCCATTTACTTTCTTGCTGTTAGTTTAGTTATCATTATTTTTATTGTAATAACTTTTTTTTAAGACTATACACCTACCTTTGATCACCTAATTCAGCCCCTCCAGGAGTTAAACTATTATGAATATTTATTCTATTTATGTTATTGTTTTTATTTTAGTTTATCATTAAGTTGTGAAGACCATACGCCTTCTTGATCATGTATTCATCTCCTCTATAGGTGTTCACCATATGTGCCGACGCATGCTTCGACTTTGTGGATTTGTATTAGTTTATATAAAGTGGTGATTTAGAATACATCATAAGTAACTACATGTTTGAAAATCTTCATTGAAACCATGGCTTACATACTAGCTACCAAGGATACAAAAGAATAAATTAACATGGGATTTCTTTGGTTAAGTGGAACAAAAATTTTGTTCAGAAAACAAGAGGATCTTGTTCTTGCATTAAGGAAGAGCACATGTTCAGTTGAGAAGAAAAACTATGATATCATACTTCAGCTTAAAGCAAAAACTGTCTCAAAATAAAGCTGAAGCTCAAGTTCGATCCAAGATCAATAAATAATAGTGTTTGAGGTTGGTTATTGAGAGAAACAGACAAGCTTGAGGTGATTTTCGGCAATTGTTTGAAGGAACCACCATATGCAACCAACAAAAGTAATATCACTGACAATCAGATACCAAGTTTAATTAAGCAACACAACTTTTTTTATTAATGAAAATGAGCAAATCAATTTACTTTAATGAAATTTCTCATTTCTGAATGACTTGTTTTGTAATGGTTTTTAATGCAAAGAGAACACTTACTCACAAGCATCACAAATCAAATTTTAGTTTAGCAGCTCAATTTTTAATTGACACTCAACACAGTACAACAATATCTGCATGCTTGAAAGGAACAAACCGAAATATAAAGACAGGAAAAATGCCATATATATATGCATATGTATATACTTTTTCTGTCTGCAACTGAATAAAGAATGTAATAATCCATAACTAGCATTATGCTACTTACTGCATGATATGCATATGGTGATTTCCCTTGACGCTCAAAGTGTTTTGCCATTATGCAGAACTCAATCGGGCCCCATTCCTCCGATTCAAAGCAATTGCCAAGCGCGGCTTTATACAACTACAGATTTAACAACATAAGGTCAGATCCAAAACCAACACCAACAAAATGTCATTCATTACTTTCTCAAAAGACCACCTGACCTTAGCTGTGTCGGTTAAAAGCTCAGTTCCAGCTGGGTAAGACGCATAGAATTGATCAGCTCTAGAATACCCTGCCCTCGTTCTGCAACACCAAAATCCACCACAAAACATGAACAATACAAACAACAAAATCCAACAAAGAATAAGACTAGATACAGAAAATCCAAAAAGGGGAAAAAAAAAACAAAGAAACCAATGTAAAAAGAGGAACAAAAAATGTAAAACATCATAACCCAGTACAGTTTAACGTCACACAAGGGTTACAAATAAGCTTTGATATTAATTCTGACTCACGTGTTGTTTGTGTAAGCATAACTCAGCACCGCAACAAAACAATAGAATCCAGTATAAGATGCGATCCTCCGGAACTTCTGAATCTTTAATATCTCCTTGAATCCATCGTATAGCATCTTGATTGCTGATTTTTAAAAGGTGTGCGCCTGAAAATTGAAGCGCAGTTAATAAGTTACCGTTGAGATATTGTATCGAACACGTTGCGTGCGTTAATAAATCGCAGCGTTTCCCTCCCCACAAACACAGAAAGCTTGCAACTTTTCGCCAAACACGCCAGCTCTGTAAATGTTGTCAGTGTATCGTAGAAAACAAGAGACGGGACAAACCATTACTGATAAAACATACGAATGTAGGTAGAGTTGATCGGATAAGAAGAGCAGCTCTGGCTTTGGCAGCCGGGTCGCAGAAGATTGTGGCCTGGAGTATGATGACTTAAATAAAATGGGAACCTTAAAATAAATTAAGAAATATATATATAATAAATGCACTTATATTAAATATCTCTCTTTAATTTTTAAATTTTTAAAAACGTTCTATTTAGATAAATTTTATTTAAGAATTTAGTAAAGAAAGTTTTCATTCATCTTTATCTAAAACTTCAAAATCATTTTTATTAAATGTGTTTTAAAATATAATAAATCCAGAAATTAAAAATTATAAACAATAATTAAAACTTCTTATTAATTAAAAGATGTCAGATTATTTAGTTTTTACTCTCAAAAACAGTTTTTCTTTTTGAAGGAATGTCCTTAAAAATAGTGATTATGTTATTTGCATTCATAAATTTTGAAATGTTATAGGGACCTTTGCACTATTGATAAATGTTTAAAGAATAAAATCATGCTCATTTTTTAAAAGTTAAACACACTTGACCCTGTTAATTTCAACACGCATGACACTTGTTGTGGTTGGTTTTTTTCCATGTAGATGTCACATGTAAGCCAAATAGACATCCTCTTTTCTCCTTCCCATTCGTTTTTGTCTTCTTCGATTCAAATGAACCCGGCAAAAGAGAACTCTTTACTATTGGGCAATGAGGTCACCGAGTAGCTGTGTGAAGTGAGTCCTTAACAATAATTTTTTGTGTGTGTTTTCCATATGTTTGATGTCATTATTTAAGTTGATACATAAAATAAAATGCTCCACGCTACAATCAGAAGAAAGCTTGCAATATCTGAAATTATACCAAGTATAAAACCATAACACCAACAAGTACTCTCATATATTTTTGGTTTTTTTGGTATGCAAGGAGATGTAAAGATGAGTAGTTAAATTTTTCATTGACATATTATCTATTTCAACTCGACTCTCATTAGAAGAGATGTCAAAAAATCAATTAATCTGAAGGATCTGACATATTAAACCCGATCAAAACCAGGAAATGACAGCACGTAGACATTGAGACAAACCGTGTTTATCACTTTTCCATTTACCCAAAACCTAAAGATTCGTTTGGCACTTATTTAAGTCTTACACACCCGATGAGTGCTAGGACGATCAGCAATGGAGTCAACAGCAAGGAGAAGCCTTCGGTTCCTCCTCCAGCTCCATCTTCTATTCTCTTTCCTTCATCGTATCCTAAGCACTTCGCCTCCTCTCTTTCCCAGTGAAGCCATCCCCACCAGATCTGGCTACCTTCCGGTGAATCCCGCTACAGGTTCCGCCATTTTCTACACATTTTATGAAGCTCAAGAACCTTCCCCTCTCTCCGAAACCCCACTCCTCATTTGGCTCCAGGGAGGCCCTGGCTGCTCCTCCATGATCGGCAACTTCCTCGAGCTCGGTCCGTGGCGTGTTCACTCCCACGTCCATAACAAGACAGAACAACTCTATCTGGAACCCAATCCCAGTCCATGGAACCGCTTGTTTGGACTCCTTTTCCTTGATAGCCCAATTGGCACTGGCTTTAGTTTGGCAGCTACAACTGAAGAGATTCCAAGAAATCAAACAGCTGTTGCTCAGCACCTGTACGCCGCTATCACGAGATTCATTGAATTAGATCCCGTTTTCAAAAACCGCCCAATTTATATCACAGGTGAGAGTTATGCGGGAAAGTATATTCCCGCACTTGGGTATTACATTTTGAAGAAAAACGGGCTAGTCTCTCCTGACAAAGTTGCTGTGAATTTGAAAGGCGTAGCCATAGGCAACGGATTAACAGATCCTGAAACGCAGGTCGCCACTCACGGCGTCAACGCATACTTTTCTGGGTTTATTAATGAAAGGCAGAAGGAAGAATTGGAGCGAGCTCAAGATGAGTCAGTCAGGCTAGTGCGAGTTGGGAACTGGAGCGGGGCAACAAAAGCAAGAAACAGAGTCCTGGATTGCTGCAAACATGACTGGTTTGGCAACTCTTTATGATTTTAGCAAAAAGACTCCTTATAGAACCGATTTGGTCACTGCTCTATTGGGTTACTCAGAGGTGAAGAAGGCGTTGAAAGCGAATGAGGCAATTGCTTTTGGGGAATGCAGCGATGCAGTTGGGGCTGCATTACACGAGGATGTGATGAAGAGTGTTAAATTCATGGTGGAGTACTTGGTGAAAAACACCAGAGTGTTGTTGTATCAAGGGCATTATGATTTGAGAGATGGCGTGGTGTCAACTGAAGCTTGGGTGAGGACGATGAAATGGGAAGGGATAAATCAGTTTCTGAACGCTGAGAGGAAGTTTTTGAAAGTGAATGGCGAGGTTGCTGGTTATGTGCAGAGTTGGATAAATCTGAGCCATGTTATAGTGTTAAGAGCTGGGCATTTGGTGCCTACCGACCAGCCATTGACTTCTCAGACGATGATTGAGAACTGGGTTTTAGAGACGGACTTATTTGCCATACAGGGTTCTTCATCAGTCTGAAATAACTTGTATTTCACTGCTTGTTCTTACTTTCACTACATAATTTGCCGCAGCAACAGTGACCTATTGGTATGAAATAACTACTTGTATTTCAAGACGGGAATGCTAGTGCAGTTGATCTGAGCCTTTTAACTTTCCAGCATGTAAGTCCTCAGAATGATTCCATTTCACTCTGGTCTTTTAACTTTTACGAGAACCTAATTTCTTCTCTTTATTATTATTATTATTATTTTCGCGAATTACTCATTCCATTTCTCCCCTCTTTTAGAAATCTAATGATTATGAAGAAACAAGTCCAAATTATCTCCTTATTACCAGTTCAAAAAACTTGTTCACTGTAACTTTACTTTCCAAAATTAGCATAGCAAAATAAAATCTAATCCAAAGTATTGATCTTCGTGTAATTCACTGTCTCAGTAGGTAATCGATATGATATAAAAGATCCCCTTGGATTAAATTTTAACAATTAACAAAAATCGAAGAATAAAACAGAGCAAGTTGGATGAAAGATCTCCATTAAAAAAAACAATGTAATGGCGTTTGGAGGCGGGTTTATGACGAAAACAATGGTGGGTAGATAAGGGGAGTAAGATTAGGCATAAGATTACCCAAAAATACACTCCAAAACTACCCACATTAGCACAAAACCCGTACTATGATGCCATTTTGATGTTTAGTTTAGGGCTTTTTGTGAAGGCAGGGCACCCTGCAGAGAACCTACAGGTATTTCGGAGCCACTGATTCACATCTCTGCTCTCCCCTTTTTGCCTCAGCCCTTTTCTTAGCACGTTAAGCTTTTCATTCTATATGGACCCAGAAAGAGATAATAACAAGAGATAACTCCACAAAATATCACCTTCTAATCTTCAAAGGCGGATACGGCGTCTCTTCCGTCGCACACTCGAGGCCAGAGCAAGCAAACCCTAGGAGCAAACGTATTTATAGATACGACAGGACGCTCGCGTGACTTGGGGTGGGCTTTGGGCTCGCGTCACGTTGAAGAAAGGGCAACGTTCTTCCATAAAAGCTTAAATTCAGTTATTGTTGTAATTTAAATTGAATATATTTTTTAATATATTCAATTATAAGTATTATTTTATGTTAATAAAATTAAATGAAAATGAAAAAATTAACAAAATACACGATCCTGAATTTTATGTAGTATATAATTTTAGAATTTGAAATATAATTATTTTGATATTTTAAGTTATTTATGTGTTTCCTAGTTTTTTTTTTTTCTCCATTAGAATATAAAATCTACAATTGTGAAAATGAATGAAATTGATTGAATTAGGTATATACAAATGAATTGAGTTAAATCACTAAAATTTTAAAATATTATGTTTGACAAAATAATCACTTACATTGTGGATAACCAAATAAAGTACAAAAACTAAGACTCCTAAACAAAAGTGGGTGAAGTTGTTCTCCAAATTTTAACATCAAAATTCTGAAAACAATGTCAATATGGGTACTTAATAATATACATCAACTAGCATGAGTTGATTTCAAGACTCAGTTCATAGTATGATAAACCTTGTATCCTGTCATTTTTGGTTGAACATTAAGATACAATTAAACAGTAAATAGTTTTAAAATTATAATAAATTCGTTCATAATTCATTCAATTTAATGATATTAATATATTAATGAATTAAATTTATTTATTTATTAAAATAATAATTTTTCTAAAACAAGCCGTGTATAATTTTATTATTTCTGTGTTTTGCTTGCTGGAGAACATGAAGGGCTCCTGCTCTTTAATAACGGTTCGGAGACTATCAAATTAGTATTTCCGCATTTTGCAAAATAATCCTTCCTCATCTCTCAGGTATCTCAACGATTATTTATCCCCTTCGCTCTCATCGATTTATTTCACTTGTTCTTTTCTCTTTGTATCCTCTTTGATTTTTGCTTGTCTTCTCTGATTTTGTTGTTTGATTGTCGACAAACCTAAAGCAAATTTAAATTTTACTTTCCCCCCCTTCTGTTTCTCTCATTTGCTGGATTAACTTTTTTGGTGCTTTTTTTTTTTTTGTTTCAACATTTTGAATTCGTTGCGCATCTGAGTGTATAACTTCATTCGAGTTCAGAGTCGTAGTCTGAATGAAGCATTGTTATTTCGAAAGATGAAGAAAGATGATTTTGAACCAAATTTCGAATTCTCAATTTGCTTCTCTCAGGTACTGTTTTACTTGGCTACTTCGAGCCAACATGTTCACTATCACTCAATTGGCTTCTTTTTTCATTTACTTGAGCAGTCGGTTTTAACTTCCTGGGCGTAGGTTTTGCTTCTTATAATGTCCCTTGAACTAGATCACACATGTTTGTGGCTCAAATAGCTCAGGAGCGCCAGTAGTTAACTCTGTTCAGCAACAACTGAGTCTGCTTGTCGATGAAATGCCTCAATTGCAACGAACTTTTTGTGAGATATTTATATATGGTTAAGCTTGTAAAATTATAGTTGAAACCTTCTTGTCTCAATTTTGTCAGTTGAGCTCAAAGGTTTTAGTTACACCTCTTGATGCTGAGTTTTTTTGCATATAGTTTCAGAGTAATTCTTCCTATTCTCAGCTGTTAGCTCTTTTAAGCTTTTGAAGGTTTCCTATTTCTTCTATTCTCTTTACCTTCTCAATCATGTAACTGTTTGCTGTGGCTTTGCAGGTTGGTTTCAGATGTATATGTTATTTAGCCATGTGATGTTCGTGCTATAAGTTGGTTTCACATGGCACTAACTATCTCACTTGTCGAATCACGTGGCATGGTATGAACAATGTTCATGTCATCATATGGTCCTCCATGTAACAACATTATCCTCATTCCTTTTATGCATTGCTTTTTATGTTATTTGTGGTGTTTACCAGCTGGAGTGGTCTGAGAGATTGGGGACTTGTTTCTGTTTTATAATGTTGATATCTGTGGTGCATATATTAGCCAATGTTCTAAGTGATATAACTTATTGAATTTCAAAGATTTGGTTCAAGAAACATTAGTGTCAACTTATATAAATTGTTGAAAGATCTGGAATCATTGTAATTTAATTCCGAATTTTATTTCAGGAAATAGAAATAAAATATGATCGTATCAGACTTTATTCATAGGAATAAAATCTGATCATATCAGTCTTATTAGGCTGTTCAAATAAGATTCCCAAATTTATGAGAATCAATTTTGACTTTTCTATTTTTGTCACTTTACCAAATCAGCAATTGTTTGCTGATTTCTGCCTACAAGTAGGCCTGAATTATACTCAGTAGAATCAGAAAAATAAGAGAATTATTTCCCATCTTTCTCACTCTCTCGTTTCTCTCGATAATATTCAAATTCTTCATGGTATAAGAGCGTGTGTTTTGAACTCTCAGACCTCTGTTGATTATTCCAATTTCTTCTCACATTTATTCTATTCAATCCTAATGGCTAAGCATGGGATGGCTTCCGTTTGAGAAAACATAGACTCCGACACAACAAATTCAGATCACCTACTTCTGCCAATCACCAGCCACAAGTTAAGTGATTGGAACTACCTTCAGTGGTCACAGTCAATAATGCTTTTTATTGTGGCAAGGGAAAGGATGATTATCTTACCAGAGCAGCTAATTAACGAGCAAAAAAAGATCCAAAATACAAGCTCTAGAAAAGTGAAAACAGCATGGCTGTCATGGGTGCTAAATTCCATTACCAAAGAAATCACTGAAGGCTTAATGTTCTGCTGTATGGCTTGAGAGATATGGGAGGCTGCAAAAGAAACCTACTATGACAATGAGAACACGGCAGAATTGTTTGAAATCAAGGAATTTCTCAGCGATCTTCAACAAGGGGATATGACTGTTACACAACATTTCAATAATCTGAATAAATATTGGAAATAGCTTGATTTCTTTGATAGTGAAAAGTTTGGCTGCAATACGTGAAGTCTCAAATACAAGAAAATTGCACAAAATGAAAGTATCTTCAAATTCCCACTAGGTCTCAATAAAAATTTGGATGAAGTTAGAGGAAGAGTTGACTTCTAAACCTCTACCTTTTATCCGAGAGGCCTTTTCTGAGGTGAGATGAGAAGAAAGTAAAAAAAGTGATGATGGGCACTTGAAATCGACACTCAAGGCTCCACTACTTCTCCTGAAGCATTAGCACTTTCTCTTTGGCCCAAGTTTCAAGGAAAAATGGTTGACCATGGTGCAACCATTACAAGAAACCAGGGCACACAAAGGACACAGGTTGGAAAGTGCACGGGAAGCCTGTTGATTGGAAGCCCAAGATAGATTTTCAAAACCATCAGAATACTGGAGAAAGTTGTGGTCTTATGGCCGCCGGAGAAGATAAGATTGTCTTGAAGGCATGTTGTTCAGTGGAGAACAATTGGAGTTCCTGCAAAAGCTTGTCAACCCGTAGAATACACCTGAAACCACTGGGACTAGCATGTTCGAACAACATAATCTCTCTTCAGTTTTGACCTCGCAGAAGGAAATCCATAGGTCTTAGATTGTGTATTTTGGTGTCTCCTATCATATGGCTGGAAATCAAAATTTATTCAATACACTTTATTCATGTCCTGGAAGCTATACAAAATAAATATAAATAGCTGATGGTTCTGCAGCTGCGGTGACTGGAATTGGAACTATCATCATTAACAAGGATTTGATTCTTCAAATCCATGTTACTAGTTCCAAACCTAAACTACAATCTCCTACTATCAGTAAGCTTACCAAAAATTTAAGGTGTGTGACTCACTTCTCACTGACTCATTGCTGCTTTCAGGACATGAAATTGGGGAAGATGATTGACAATGACAATGAGTATGTGGGATTCTATCTTCTTAAAGGTTTAAGTAATCCTGTAAGACAAGCTTATCATGCAAGTGTGTCTCTGCCTATTTCTCTAAGTCTTCATATAAAGAAAATGCAATTATGTTATGTTATTACATCCCATTTCTATGATCAAGATGTCAAACCCACTGAGGATCAAGATAGGCACAGGAAAAGCAATATCAGAAAGCTTCTCATAGGATTTTAGATTTTAAGAAGGACAAGAATTAGAATCTTTTAGATCTTTCTTTTCCCCTACAGTTTTCTTCTATTAGCTATAATGAATGTCTATATGAAGACTAGTAACTATCAACCGAGAGAAAAAAATGATAAACTAAAATTTTGTTCTTAGAGTTTTATTTCGTCTATCTTATTTCGTTCAGTCTACTCCTTATATTTCTTTAATTTAGTCTCCAATTTTCTTTGCTCTATTTAGTTTGATCTATCTGCTATCTTGTGTTTCTAACCTAATTTTCATCTATTTCTAAATTATCTATCTAACAAGTTAGTTTTAACTGTTTTTCTTCAAGCATCAGCTCCTCTACCGCTTAAGTTGATTCAATTTGTGAATTAGCCTATTATGAGTTGATTATGCTGCACACACAAACATATGTTAAGAAAATGTTTGCTTCAATTATCTCAAAACAAAAAAAAAAAATGTTTGCTTAAAAAAAAATATATGTTAAGAAAATTTTGTAATAAAAATACTTTGATGTGCTCTAGTTCTAGAGTAATCCATTATGTTGATCTGGTGGCCGGTTCTATGGGTTACTGTAGCTTATCATAGTGCATTCTGCCATTTTAATTTTCTTGCGCACTATTTATTTATCTTCTTTTGCTACTCTTTGGTCATGTCAAGGTGCTCTCATGTACTTTCTGTACCTAATTATTTAAAATATTGCATCTTGATTGCTTTAATCATTTGATGGACATCAGTATGTTCGTTACAATCTCATATGTGTCTTTTGCCTTTATTTTTGGTGTTGATAATTTAGATGAGACTCATTAAGCCAAAACTTAATAAGAATTTCATTGTCAGTGTTTTTGTAGAAAACGATTGAGAAGTTCGATTGTCTTTGAAGCTGAGAGGGGATATTATAATGCTCTGGACAGAAAAATGAGGTATTTTTATGTTAGTTTAGTTACTTTAGTTTTAGGATTGCTTAAAGATGGATTCAGGGAGGTGAATAACTTACTGTCATTTAAAATTTTGTTATCTTGCAGATATAGTACTTCTCTCCTATCTAAATTATCAAAGTTATGTTATCGATCAAAGCATAAGTTTGCTGAAAAGCTGTTGGAAGAAGTGGGTAAATATGATCCAGCAAGCATTTCTGATCGGTCAAAGTTGCTTAATAAGGTAGATATTGGTGCTTCATGAGATATTATTATAATGTTACCTTTTCATGTTACATCCTAGACAATCTTGTCATTTATTGTCTGCCAGTGGGGTGGGGGGGGGGGGGAGGTTTACTAAAATTTCTGAGCTCGGTTCTGGTTCTATTTTTCAGAGCAAAAAAATGGAAGTAAAATGGTT